TTTTTTTTGTCGACAAAATATTTTATTCATCTGCTTAACTATAGAGTTTGAGTTACATACTAGACAGACCATAATATTACATAATAAAGCCGTAATTCTTGCAGATTTGGCTAAGCTATCAATTTCATTATTAACTTCCCTTCTGACAAATTTGAAGCTAATACCATTTGATATACTGACTAGGTAAAGAATATCCTTCAAGTAGGTTTTCAGCATAGGATTTTGCCTCTCTACCATACATCCTCTTTCCTGGATTTTGCTTAAAGCTTCACATATTATCTTTGAATCGCCACAGAAAGTGATGTCATTGTACCCGTGTCTCCTCATTTGCAAGATAGCCTCTTTGAGTGCATAGGCCTCAGTCTCTAAAGCACTTGTCAATGGCTCCATAGAAGTTGAACCCCTCATAATCATTTTACCATCTCTATCAAGGAGCATCCATCCAATTCACGCTTGACACTTTTCAGAGATCCATGAATCATCTACAAAACAACAAAGGTTGTTAGTTTTTTTTATCACATAAGCCATTGTTGTCGGCGTTTGACTTTATGGGACTTGACCCTGGATCTGGCTCCTATTAAACTGATTATCTAGTTCTTTGCTTTGATGTAGAGAATTCGTCCATTGTTGATAATCCACCAAGATCTTGCAAACAACATATGAAATTGCTAATATTGTTCCTTGATACAATAACTCATTCCTCATTTTCCAGATTCTCCATCTCACAAACGGGTGAAGTGGACATATAGTACGAGAGCTTCTATCAATACTTATCATATGTTTGATATTTTGTTCAAGAATATTGTTAAGAGAATTACCTAGGAAATGACTACCATGCATAAGCTCTCAGACTCTACATTGGTATAGCAGATGATTAATATCCTCTACGTGCTTTTCACATAGCAAACATGTGCTGTCCACTCTTATTTTCCTTTTACGCAACAACTGTGCAGCATGAATTGAATTATGGAGAATTCTCCACCAAAAATGTTTAATCTTTGTGAAATGTGTAGTTTCCATATATCCTTAAAAATCTCTGAGTCCAGATGATTTTGTTGTGAGTTATGTAAGGAATGGATAAGATGATAACCTGATTTGACACTGTAGTATCCATCCTTTGTATACGCCCATGATATTCGATCTTTCGCCCTTGTTATACTTAGCTTTATTAGCTTTATTTTCCTTGCATCCTCTTGAGCAATCATTTGATTTAACTTGGTGACATCCCAACTTGTTGTATCTGGAATAAATAAATCTAAGACCATGAGATTAGCTATATTTGTATTTGTGTTGGCTCTTGATGGTTTTGGTGGAAGGCCTGGCAA